TACCAAGGCGCATGCGACGCCTCGCCCTCTCTCGCATCCTGGCTGCCTATGGGCCCTTCCCTCTTTCCCTCCTATTCCTTTCCCACGCACTGGGTTTTGATGACGACGACGAGTGTCTCGCGTTTCTAGAAACGGAAGGTTGGGTGATGGGGAGGGAGGGAGGGAGGAAGGGGGGACAGACCGTGGACCTGCAGGCGACTCGAGCGCAGGGGCGACGGGGTCGGAAGGAGGGAGGGATAGGGGGAGGCAGGGAGGGAAGGAGGGAGGGAGAGGAGGGAGGGAGGGAGGGAGGGAGGGAGAGAGAGGAAGGAGGAGGAGGGCCGGAAGGGGGAGGGAAAGGCAGCAGCAAGAAGAAGAGAAAAGAAAAGGAAAAGAGACAAAACAGGCGGACCAAAAAAAAGCGAAATCAAAAAGAAGGGAGAAAGGAGAAGACAAAGAACGGGTTCGGAGAGATAGCCGCCAGAGGAGGAAGAGAAGGAGGAAGAGGAGGGCGATCCTAACGGGCAGCCCTAGGAAAGAACAATATTCGTCCCGTCAACCATAGCTTGCCTCTGTTGCATTGACTTCGACGTCTTTTCGAAACTTTTGAACTCACTTCCCCTTCCTTCCTCCCTTCTTCCCTTTCCCCTCCTCCCCTTGCTTACGTCCCTCCTTTCCCTCCTCAAACACCACCCCCTCGCCTCCAGCCGCCATTTCCCTCCCTCCCTCCCTCCCTCCCTCCCTCTCTCCCTCCTCAGCTACACAAAGACGCCCGCCCAGAGCGTCAGGAAGAGGGTGCCACAGCCGAGGAGGAGGGAGGACAGGGTGGCCATGAAAAGCTCCTTGACCAGGGAGCGGCTCTTGTGGTCGTGCGAGACCTGTGGCAAGAGAATACGAGGAAAAGAGAAGAAAGTGAACTGTGAGAGGCCACTCACCAGGGAGGGCAAGCGGGCGGAGGACGCGAGGCGAGAGGGCTCTTCCGGATTCCCCTAGAATCCGATGAGGACCGGACCCTCGCACTCCCTCGCGTTGCTTACCTTCATCTCGTACACAAAAAATAAGGCCATGAAGGACAAACCAGACCCGATCAGAATCAAGGCTAGCGTGCCGAAAGCCGCTGGATTAACGGGGCTATAGTACGGGGTCTGGATGATCGAGGAGGAAGTCAGAAGGAACGCTAAAGGTCGCTGCGCGAAGGAGGAGGACACGGAAATATGTGCCTCCCGCCATTTATTATACATGCGTGTAAAGCAAGAAAAAAATTTTCGTGGTGCTGTGTTTACCTGGGAGGACATCGTGGTGGAACGTGGGGAGAGGAACGTCTGGCGTCGAAAAGCTCCGTCCTGTGTCAGATGAGGACAGGTGGGGGGGGAAGTCAATCACTGCGCACACAGTAGTCCCTAGCAACGAGTACATCAAGTTGCGATGACACTGTATACTCAAAGCTGGTCATGAGCATGGATAATTCGGTTCACGGGGACGGAGCGAGACATTTGAGTGGGCATTCAATTCCTCAGCGAGTCGAGCGAGGGGTGTAGTAGACACACCGAAGCACTTACACTTTATACACAGGGAGAGGGAAAAAGAAAAACCCCTCCCGTAAACAAGAAGGCTATACACCATTCTTGTGCTCTGGATTGCCTCCGCACGGCCAGCATTGTCGTTGTAGACATTGCATTCACGTGCGCATCGATTCCCACCCCCTGGCCTCCGACAGTCACCGCATCGGGGGGAAGTGGATGCACATAAGGATGAAGACCTCTGGTGGCACAAATCCAGCAGTAGGAGGCGGGAGCCAGTCCTTTGGGGACTGGTACACGCAATACGCGGCTCAACAACGGCAAGAAGAAGGTATGGGTGCAGGACAGATAGGAGAGGGTGTCTAAATGGTACTGGTTCGAGTATGAGAGATCTGAGGCGCGGCATTAGACCTCTCCCGTCGTCCTCGGTGTCCCCACACGCACGAATGATGAAAAAGAAAAGACCCACCTATCGATTCAAACATCGACATGGTCCGTCGGTCCGTCTCCCTGCGCGCTCCTGTCTCCCCTCTTAGCCTTCCGATGCGTGAAACTGACTTCCTCTCCCCCATTCCCACTATCGACACACAGGAAACGGCGACATCGAATCTGGCCTGCTTGGCAACGTGGGCCGTTTTTTCCGTGACAGGGGCCTGGGGGATGCCCACGACCAAGTCTCTGGCTTTGCCGACCGGTTTATCACCAGCATCCGTGGGGACGGGGAGGGAAACGGAGGCCTCGTAGGAGGGGCGAAGGCCACTGTGGAGAGCACCTTGAACTACGGTGCACGTCTGCGGGGTTTCGTGGCATTGCTGCTGGTGGGCATTTTGTTCTACCTCCTGGCCTTCTTCGTGGGCCTTCCTGTCATCGTCTTCCGACCCGCCAAATTTGCACTGAGTGCAACCTTGGGCAGCCTGTGTACCATGGGAAGTTTCTCGGTCCTGGTCGGCCCCCGCGTCCATTTGCAATCCTTGTTGGTATGGGAACGCCTCCCGTTCGCCGTCGCTTACCTGGGCTCTTTGGTTCTCACCTTGTACGCCTCCTTGATCTTGCGGAGCTACCTTTGGGTGGTCGCTTCCACGGGATTTCAAATTGGGGCTTTTGTGTGGTACCTGCTCGCTTTCCTGCCGGGGGGACCGGCAGGCTTGAGGGTGTTAGGCGGCGTGATGGTGAGAGGGGTGATGGGGTGCGGGAAGACCTTGACCTGGTGTCTGTCAATCCTAGTGTCATGAGATAAGGCAGGGAGGCCAATGTCGGGAGGGGGAAGAAAGAGGCCCTCGGGGGGAATGTAAGTGAGCGGTGTAAATAACAAAGCAAAGAATGCCAAGACCTGTCTCCGATCCATGTGTAGCAAGGTAACATGAGGGTAGAAGGGCGACGCGCCCGGTGGTACTTCCTTCTCTTCAAAGAGCCCCCCCAAATCCCAGGGATTCATTCCTTCCGCGCGCCACGTCGCTCCCAGGGGGCAAGCGCAGAGCGTCCCGGCACCCTGCGTCTTAGTATCCTGAAACGTTTTGCTACACGCTCAGATTCCTGCCCCTTCTGTGCAGAAGTCTGTGCGTGACCTGCCCCGTGTATCTCTCTCCTGCCTCCCCCCCCTTTCCCCTCCCCCTTTCACAACGAGCCGCATGTCTTCAAAGCATTTCGCGCCCTTCATCGGACAATCACCGTTCATCTTTGTACCTCTACAAGCTACATTATAAAGCACATATATATATATTTATGCACATATTATCGCCCCAGTCTCATGAATGGACGGCCGCCCCATGTCGTGTTGAGCTGCCTTTGTCCTCCCGCCGAGGGTATCCCATTCCCAACCGCACCAACATCAAGCCCTTCCGATCTTTCCACCGATCCCTCCACCCTCTGGCTGTCTACCCTCCTTTTTTACATGTAGGGCGCCAACCCTACGTACTGCCGCATCAGCACGTTCGGATCCGTAGCCAGGTCTATCAGCACCTCCACTTGCTCTGCCACTGTCAGCATGTCCATTTCCCTCCCCTTCCCTCTTTCTCCTCCTTTTCCTTTCTCCCCTCGACTTGGACACCACCGGGTCCGTGCCCTCCCCAGCTGTCCCTCCACTGCCTGTCGAATGCCATCGAAGCTCCCGTATCGGACCACGTGGGGATTCGTTTCCACATCGTGCAGTAGCACCTGCCTGGGGTTGGCCCCTTGCAATTTTGCCCTGGCCAGCCCTACTTTTCGAAATGCTTCTTTTTGGGTGGTACTGCTTCCTGTGAGGTTTTTCCTCCTATCCCCTGCGGACAAGGGAGCAATCTCCTTGTCCGCGCCCTGCCCGCCCGCCGCGCCCGCCCAGTCCCAAATGGGGTCTCGAACGAAGAGCTCCATGGTGGGGAGGAGAAGGTCTTCGCCCCGCCGAAGGGCGTGAAGCACTTTTTGCATGGCAATTTGCAGGAGTCCCTGTGGGGGCGTAGTTCAAAGTTGGGGGAGAAACAAGGTCAGGTACGGATCATTGTGGCCGCAAGGGGCATGAAAGGGCGCGTTTGTTCCCTGAATCACAGACCTGCCCCCTACCTACCTCGCTATCCAACGGCCGCAGGACATTCAACATCTGCCGCGTCAGACGAAAAGGAATCAGCTCGGGCACTGGCAACGCGGACGCCCCTATCCCAAAGGCGACTCCGAAATCGATTCCCACGACACACGCCGAACGGGTGTCCAGCAAGAAATTCTCCAGGTGCCTGTCGCCTACGCCCACGACGTAGGAACAGATGGAAAAAGCAGCGAGGCTCTTGGCGAAAGTCCTGCGCAAGGTCAAAAAGACCTCGGGGCTGGGAGCGAGCAGGAGCAAGTACTGACGGAGGCCATTCCAGGGAACCCGGGCATGGAACGCGGCAAGTTTCTCGCCCGCCTTGCTCGGAGACAGGGTTCGATACCCGGTGTGATAATCCATCACAGATGGGTAGAGCTGTGCATAGTCTTGCGCCAGGACCTCAAAGGAATCTTCTTTCTCTTCCTTGAACCTTTCCGAGGTCCGAGGCGGATGCCCCCGCTTTCCCCTATGGTCGTGTTCAGAGACCGCGAGCTGAGCACCCCGACGGCGACTCCCTTTTTCGATGGCCAACCTTAGAACAATCGTATTCGAGCACCATTCGATCAACCCCAGGCTCGGGGAGAGGGGAATTATCTTATACGTCTGACACTCCAACCCGTTCTGAGCACAAGCGGTGTCGGCGGCCATGAGCCCGTTCATGGATTCGAACAACCGCTCGATCCTTTCGTCGTTCCGACAGTCTTCCCCACCTTTCACCAGGAAAGGGTAGCTCTTTTCATTGTCCGCGTGCAACACAATCTTCCTCGGCAGTTGTTTGGAGGTACGCGTCTCTACCAAGGGATCGATGCTCACCAGATGAACGTGCAGGTCGGGCCTGGGTGGGCTCTCCCATCGCCCGTACTTTCGATCGTACTGTCCTGGGATCTCGATTTTATGATCGCCGTCGCCACATTCCATACGATACCGTGCGAGCCAGAGACTGTATCTCTCAATGCGCTCCTGCGTATGCTTCGGCGTGCCCTGGACGTTCAATGCCAAGTCGCTGGCCACTTCCTTAAGGGTCTGTCGATTTAAATGCTCACCCCTACGACCCAATTTGGGATCCAACCGCTTGGCTACCTCATTTTTCATCCAGCCGCACGTGTATAGTCCCCGATCTTCCGCAGGACTCTCCGTTAAGGTCTCCCTCCACGCGGCATACACATGCTGTACTTCCTCCTGCGGGACATCTCCCACCTGCAGCAGGGAGCGGATCCGGCCTAAAATAGCTCGCCAGGCGACCGGAAAAGACACCAGCATGGCCACATTTTCCACAAAACGCTCCAAAGCAGGGAGCTGAAGAAGACGATCCAGTTCTTGGGCATACGCCATGGAAGAGAAGCCAGGTTTTGCGACGCGGTAGGGGTAAAAGAGGGCCTGTGGGTAGGCCTGAGCAAGCCGCAGGAGCACCGGCAAGACTGCCTCAGCTTCTGGCGCGTCCAACCCAGCCAAGAGCTGGGAGGCTGCTGGCAGAAAGATCCAAGCCGGTACCGAACCGGCGCATTTCTGCAGGACCTCGCGGGCGACCCGGGCATTGGTTTGTGGCTCGTAGGGGTCGTGGGATTCGCGAATCATGTCGACAAGGCGGGGTAAGGCTGCCGGGGCTTCGGCAGGACACCATGTCAGAGCTTCCAAGTATCGCGCCATGGCCTGTGCTGTCAGCGCGGCGGGCGAGAAAATGTGCTCGCTTTCTCCTCCCTGCTTTCCTTCCTGTGCCATGTCCTCCCTCCGCTCTCTCACAAGCCTGTCACAGAAGCGTGCGAATTTTGCAGCCCTCCGTGCCACGGTCCGGGTGCCTCTTCCCCATCGCCTCCTTCCCTCCTTCTCTTCAGTCATGACCGCCCTGTATGCTTGGTACGTCTCATGTAGCCAGTCCTGGCGCAGGCTTGCTACATTAAAACCTGCAATCTCATCCTGAGTTTCTTGCCCTCTCCACACCTTCCAATAGCTCTTTGCGATCGAACAAAGAAAAGCATCTCTTTCCCTCTCCTGACCGACTTCCCATTTTATCCGCTTGGTCACGAATCCGGAGGCCATCTCGAACCATTCTGCTTTGAGTTGCATGACTTCCATCCATGCGCGCCGGCTTTGCGACCCGCTTTCTCGACCTTCCAAACTCACCAATCTTTGTCGTATCGCCTTCGCTGCCCGGCCCCACAGCACTCTTTCCACGACAGCGGCGCCTCCTCTCCCTCCCTCATCCACCGCCTGCCTCAATTTCCACTTGTCCAACTCGACAAACAATCGAATCTGCGCGGCCCATACGTTGGAGAGCATGGCTCCCACCAGGGTCTCGATCCTTTCGCCGTCCTCTTCTTCCTCTGCATCGACCAGGACCTTCCAATTGCGGAAGGCTACCTTCGCTTTCTCCCAGCATTTCATCGCCACTCCCCCCTCGCCCCATTCTTTGACGGCAGCCCTGGCGGCACGTTGCCAAAAGGATAAATGATGCCAATACCTCTCCCGTCGAAAGTCTCGCATATCCTGCTCCTCGTCTACATTTTGACTTGGGGCATGGCCGTCTCTTTCCCGAGGGATGGACAAAGACCATTCGCGTAACATGCCAATATCCGCCCAGACCAAGGGCGGGTCCTTTTCCATCACAGGCGCAGGGGCTAGCTGCCAGCCCCGCAACAGACGCTTCCCCTCCCACGAAGAAAGGGACCAGGTAAGAGAGGAGGAAGGGAAAGAGGACAAGGAAGGAGGGAGCGTGCGAGAAATGCGCAGGGCATCCTCCATTTCCACCAAGTACTCCAACCCCTCCAATTGAGCTCGGCGCGCCGCCCCAGCTAAGGGATCCAAGCCTTTCCAAGACCGCATGAATGTGCGGTACGCCTGCTCAACGTATGCTTGGGCATGTACCTGATCCCTGAGGAAGAAATGGAGGGAGGCCAGGAGGGAAGGATGGGCCGAAGCCAGCCACTGGCGACGCGCGGCGTCTGCGTCATCGGCCACAAGGAGCAGGGCTTCTTGGAGGTTGAGGGCGCTGGAGGTTCCTCCCCTTGCTTTCTCCTGTTCCTCTTGACCTAGACATGCGGCAGAGAAGCGATGCACCAAGCTTTCGATCCACATCGCGAGCACGTCTCCCCCTCCAGCCCCACCTCCCTCCCTCCCTCCTTGCCAGACCTCTTCCAGAGACCAAAGCTTGTCGTATATCCCATTTATTGACATGGCTTCGATAGAATAGCCAGCTCCCGATGAATGCTGCTTGGCTGGCTGTACAGCAGCCTCGATTTCATCCTGAAGCTGTGTCCATTCTCCCAGCCGGCGGAGGCACTCCCTTCGACGCGAATGCCACAAAGCCACTACTTCCTTGTCTTGCCCCCCCCCCTCTTTCCCTCCTTCCGGCTTCTCCGATAATTCCAAGAGCTTCGCGTATTGCTCCAGCGCCTTTTCCCAATGTCCTTCTGACTCACTGGCCACCGCCAGTCGCGTCCTGGTCATCGCACTTTTCTCACCTCCCTCCTTCCCGCCTTCCTTCTCGCCCTCCTCCTCGACAACCCTCTCCACCAGCCCACGCACCACATCGCCCTCCCCCAATGCCCGATAAAGCCGCATCAGTTCTACCCATATTTCCAACGTCGAGGACGATCCTTCTTTCTTCCTTCCCGTGCCCGTCATCTCTCCTTCACCCCTCCTCCCCCTACCAGCCACCCTCTCCATGCCTTCCCTTCGAAC